TATATAAGGTGGATGCAATGAGTCCACTCCTTACAATCTTAGCTACTCATTTTGGCTGTGTTTGTTAAACAGCTTTTTGCTCTAAAAAGAGCTTTTTAAAAAATTTAGCTGTTTGACCATTTGAACCAGCTGAAAAAAACGTTTGGCAAGTAGCGGATACAAATAGCTTTTTGGGGCCTATCAGCTGAATTATAAAACGCTACTTTTAGCAGCGTGTTGAGTTAGCTGTTCATTATTTAAAAATTAAAATGTCTTGATTACCCTTACTTCTCTCTCCTCACAAATTCAGAAAAAAAAAGTAGCGTTTGTACATGTTTTTGTTCCTTTGTGATTGTCCAAGTCAATAACTGGTTGAAAACCTTTTTTTAAATTCAAGTGTCCTTTTTTTTTTCTATTACTGTAATTATGTGGGTTAATAAATTTCAAGTGATTCAACTTGGAACAAATGTTTGTTCCTCAATCCAATATTTTCTTAAAAATTCGATAAATATAACAATCTTGATATTTCGAAATGTGCCAGTTTAGAAAGTAATTAAAAAATCGTGTGCCAACTTTGATAAAATATTTTTATTTTATTATTATTTATATTTTTATCATATTTAAATCACTTTAATAAATATTTAAAATATTAATTATTTAAATTTTCTATGTAATTATAATTTGAACATAAATTAGAATTAGAATGATAAAGTATGTTGATGTCCTTATAAGTAATTTTACATGTTAACAGCTAATTAAAATAGCTAATTTTACCAAACACTTTTTTACAAACCGCTAACACGATCAGCTGGTCAAAACAGCTAACACAATCTGCTGGTCAAAACAGCTAATGTAATCCGCTAACAGCTAACAGCTAACCGCTGATTACCAAACAAGGCCTTTGTCTAGATCAAAATAATTAAAATATACATTAATTAAATAATAAAATAATTATTAGTTGACTCTGGCGTTGACCGTTGACTTCCGGCGTTGACCGTTGACTTCTGTCGTTGACCATTGACCCGTTGACCGCTAGTATGCATTATTTATGAAGTAATATGCATACAGTACCATGCATTTAATATGAACTAAATATGCATGAGATATGAATTGCACATGCAGTACTTATAAACTAAATATGCACCAATAATATCAACTAAGTATGCACCTGTTATTAACTAAATATGCATCTGTTATGAACTAAATATGCATCATGAACTAATGAACTAGATATGCAGCGAAAAATATGCAATAAAATGTACATTTTATATAGGTAATTTACGATGCATATTTAGTTAATTTATTATACATATTTAGGTAATTTATGAAGCATATTTAGTTAATACGAAATGCATACTTGTTATATTTAAATTAAATATATAATGATGTTTATATAGTGAAATTATGATGCATATTTAGTTAATTCATGATACATATTTAGTTCTTACGAAATGCATATTTAGTTTATTAACAGTGCATACCTAATTTATTTGAGATCCATTCATAACAATTTATTTGTGTTATTAATCAATTTAAAATTAAAATTAATTATGTAATAAAAATCATTAATTGTTATATTTAATTTAATTGTATAAAATGTATATTTTATTGCATATTTTCATTGCATATTAGTTCATTCCTGATGCATATTTAGTTAGTAAATATGCATATTTAGTACATAAACAGTGCATACATAGTTGATATTATTGGTGCATATTTAGTTCATAAGGATGACATATATAATTTATATCTTATGCATATTTAGTTCATATTAAGTGCATGGTACTGTATGCATATTACTTCATACATAATTCATACTAGCGGTGAACGGGTCAACGGCGGAAGTCAACGGTCAACGTCGGAGTCAACGCCGGAAGTCAACGATTTTCGTCGGAAGTCAACGGTAAATGTCGGAGCCAACGGTCAACACCGGAGTCAACGGTCAACGCCAAAGTCAATGGTCAATTGTCAAAATAATATTTAAATAATTAAAATAATAAAAATAAAGAATTAAGTAGTAAAAATAAAAAAATTATTATTTAAATGAAGAGTTAAATCTTGGCCACACATCATGTACTAATCTAGTGGCTAAGAATGAGTCTCACATGCACACTTTAAGTATGTGGACTCATTGGATCCAATTCCTATATATATATAATAAAAATTAACTTAAATTATTTTTAGAAATCTTTTCCCGCAATGCATTAATTACACCCCGTTTGTAGTAATTTTGGACAAGGTTTTATAACCATTAATAACGAATAGTTTTAACATAACTTAACAATTGTAATTAATGAAAACTATTCTAAAATTACAGATTTTATAGCCTTACCCGAATAAGGTTGTTATTTAGTGTACTAATAAAATTGGATTTATGATTGAAAAACATATCTATTTGTTATGAAGTCTTTCATTTTTTTTATACAACAATCAATGATATTCTTTCATGATTTTAATAATGTATGAATTTTTTATGATGAACATTTAATGACTACCAGACAAATTCTCTATGTATTATAACTTATTGATTATCATGGAGTGAATTGAGTGAATGGTGTTAGGAGGAAGCTGATTCAAGGGGAGACCAAACAAGTTGCATATTTTAATGACCTATGGCAAAGAGAAAAATGGATGCCCAGAGTGAATTGGATCTCAAAAAAGGTATAATAGTGTTCTGGGGGATTATCATAGGTATCATAGAGCCAGGGCTAAGGAAGCGCCAATAAGAAAGATGGACAATTTTTTCCAAGTTCAACCAATCAATGGTAGAAGAAGTCGAACGGGGTTTGGTGGTTTTTGGGCGAACAGGGGCAGAGCTCGTAGGTAGCTTGTTTTTAGTTGATTTAGATGAAGATGGAGGAGTGGTCGAAGGTTTGGCTTTTAGCGCGCTTGGGGTAGCAGGCTTAGGTCCAACAACATGACGAGAAAGAGGAATGTGATCCTCCTCCTCTTCAGGCACTGCCTCAGTGACATTCGATGGACCGAAAGTAGGTCAGCGGCGGCGGACAAGAGGAACATGGTTGAGTATATCCTTGTCTGACTCATCAATCAGACGAGAGGGTGGAGGAGGAGGAGTTATATTGGAGTCGACAGGGCGAAGTGTGCGAAGAAGAACAACCTGGTAAATCTTCTCAACGGAGTAGGAAAGAGAGTAAGGTATCGGCCGAAAAGTTGAATACAATTACGGAGAGGTTATATCTTTGCAAGAGTAGTGGTCATTCTCGCTGGAAGTAGCGGAATCTTGAAAAATAATAACGGAGAGGTGTCAGAAGAAAGAATCTTAGGGTTTTAAAAGAAGAGAGAAAGAGGAAGAAGAAGAGGGTGTCGTGGCTAAGGTTCAAGCAAAACATTCGAAGGAGAGGGACTGAGAGCTAGAAAATCACAAAATTAAAAACAAAAAAGCGTTAGTTTGAGTTCCAGAAGACTTACTCATTGTTGCGGTGGGAATAAGTCATCGAAAAGTCTGAAATGGCCTGGAGAAGAACCACCGAGAACAGGAAATTGAATTTGCAGGAAGGAAACTAGGGCACAAATGAATTCGAAAATTTGCAAAGGTGAAAAAGTCCAAAAAATTCCTAAGTACGGGTACTTATAGGAGGCAAGGTGAAAGGGTAAGAATGTGACCGTTGGATTAAAGTGGAAATCAAATGGATAAGAGGCATTTCTTGAGCACAGGATACGAGAAGACGCGTATCGCGAGAAAACATAATGATGGAAATATCTGACAGACATGACAAGTGGCAGGTCTGATTTTTGCAGTGATGGGCGAGGAGAAAAGTGGTCAAAGAATATGAGAAAATTCACCAGACGGTCGATGCGATGAAAAAAAGCTATAATATGAAAGGCAAACATAAATCTACTCTTAGATCGAGTCATTCAGACTCGACCAGAGTGGGGGGACTAGATGGTATGAGATATTATACCTAAAGAGTAAAACAGTCCACCAGGTCGGTCGAAGAAATACGGTAAACTGGAGAGATCAGTTCAGCCTAGCAAAGCTGAACAGAATATTGTGGTCGAACATCACGATAATGGGACACGAAAGACCCCAATACAAAGAGAACGAGTCAACCTTAGGCCTTTGCGATACCTGGTTGAAGATTGACTTGTCGAGCAAAGGGTCATTTGATCGACCACCTCATAAACCAAAGACAACTTAAAGGATTAAACTGAGCCTGGTCAAACGTAAGAGTCTTTAACGGAATGTCAGCGGAATTTTAGAGGAATCTTTACCACATGTGCAGAGGACACGTGGCGCAAAATAATTGGTGCAAGACGATAATGGTGATAGTGGCGATAGTCGCCTCTGACACATGCACACTGTGTATGTACGGACGGCAGGCCTGGGCAGACAGCTCATCATATTTGGGCAGCTCCTAGGGTAGGTATCTCACCCCAATATATAGGGGTGAGCGTTACTTATTAAGCACGATTGATTCATTTTTCACTCTTGAGAATTGATTGGAAACAAACATTGACT